TTCAAATATCTGTGGATAGTCTGGTCCAGGGAGAGCTGCAGAGATGGCTGCTCCACACCACTGTGACACACACATGCACACAATATTAAACATCTGTAAATAACAGCACTCTGAGTTGTATTAAAACAGCAACAACAAAAAAACATTTTAACTTCAGAGTTTTCACTTTTATCTGAGTTTTTGCAAAGGAGATATTTTATATTTTATGAATTTCTTTAAAAGAAAGTTCCCAAGTGCTTTGGGAGACAAGATGGAGAAAAAAACAGCTTATCTCAAAGAAAGATTGTCTCAAAGAATGGATCTCCTAACAGAAAAAGCCAGATCACCATTGACTCTCAACCGATGATTGTGGGTTGCCCAGCAGCTTTAAACCAGGCAAATATGTCAGATGCCAGCTGGCCTTAAAATTCAACAACAACATCAGTTCTAAAATTAACAGTTAACCAGTGAAGTGAAGCCGAAACGGGAGTGAGGTGTTGCTTTTTTGATTTTAGTAAGAAGTTTCAGTTCGAATCAGCAATAGTTTGCGTATAATGAGTTTTACTTATCTAACCCACAAATGTGCAATTTTCTCTAGATTTCCTTTGGATAAAACTGAGCTGATAAGCTACCTAAAACAAGACAAAAAAAACGAAAAAAAAAAACAGAAAAGGTAACCAGGGTGACAAAACTGATAAAAAAGATGCCAAAGTACTGACACAACTGGACAAACACGAAAGACAGCAGCGGCCACCAGAGCAGGGCAGAAGAACCACGGCCACCAACAACAACTACAGTTTTAATCATCCATATTTTGTCCCAAGAAGTTCTGTATCATCCAGCATTTAATATATTGGATGCAGTCACTCAATGATTTGATTTTAAGAGAATGTCACTGAGGTTAAAATAGACGCGCAGCTGTGTGTCATCTGCATAAAAAGGAAAACTCACACCATTGCTGTGGATGACATGCCTCAGGGGTAACATGTATAAAGAAAACAGGAGGTCCAGGCCCAGACTACTGAGGGACCCTACAGGTCATCATACTACATTTCTCTATTAAGACATAATCAACAAATTAATTTTCAATAACTTATCATCCTTAGTTACAGCCTCAAAGATAATAATATGTTGCTTTAAGTTATTCGATTCATATTCTCCCCTTTGCAAATAATAGATGTTACAAATCTCAGTATGGCGTACAAATCTACCTGCAGACACCTTTTTTAATCCCTTTCCATTAACACGTTTCCATTTGGGACATCAGTGCTCCAGCTTGTGCAAACATCCTGGATGTTATAAAGACCTGTGGTAGGCATTTTTGTGGATTGGTTGACCATTAATCACTGAAATGATCATTTATTGTCAGAGTCTCATGTTGGAATTTAATGCATCACTGTAGTCTGGGTAAACCACCAGAGATGATTCTTAAAATTGATTTGGGTTAAGAGATAGGGCCTGGTCCTGGGTCAGGAGGTGACAATGGAGCTACCAATCTGGTTAGAAATAAAGCCAATAACATGTTTACTGTGATGGCCATGCTAAATCAAAGCGGTTTCAAAAATAATGCACACACCTGAGGACGTAGGTAACGCTGAGGATGCAGAGCGGCTGGGGGATGCCAGGTCTGGACCTGGAGGGTCGGACGCTGGGGATGACAGCACTGTGACTCTCCACCCAGACGTAACCTCCACCTTTCACCAGCATCCTGTACTGACCGCTGACTGACTGGTTCTTCAGACACACTGGAAATACGGAGTTAAGTATTTATAGGAGTGTAGTGTGTGCGCGTGCACGTCTGTCTGTGCGTGTCAGTGCTTACGGTTTAGATGATTTTTGTTCAAACAGCTTGTGTCCAGTGCGTGACAGAGATCATAGATGGAGCGGCCAAGCAGCTCCTCAGGTCTGTAGCCCAAAAGAGAAGTCACTCTGCACACACAGAAACACACACGAGGCAAAATGATTTTATTTTACAAGTCAGCAACACTGAGGATTAAAATCATGTTAATAAACCAGTCACTGTTGCCTTTACAAACAATTGCACAGTCATTCTTCTTTAATTCCAATGACAAAAGTGCAAAAGCCAACACCAAAGCAAGTTTACAATTCACTGCTTTCATACAGTCACACATTATGCTGTGCACTCATTCTCAGCTGGCAAGGGTTTGCATTATAACCACAGAGTTGTTTATATAAACATAGGTCAGGCCCTGAAATGTGTTACACTGAAGGTTATTAACTACTAATCTGCTATAACTATGACATATCAGGATTTTCTAACCAGAATCATAATGAAACTTGTTTTAATGATTTCTACTTTAATGTTTGAACTGTATACTGTAGCCGATTTTTTGGTTGAGCTTTCTTGGCTGAAGATTTGCTTCTTGTTCCTGTTTTTCAACTTAACATCCTGCATTCATTTTAGATGTATTAAAGTAATATATATGCTGGTTAAAAATGCTTCCGCGTGGGTTTTTTTTTTGTTGGGTTTTTTTTTTCCTGTTGTTACTTATTTCCGCTTATTCACAAGCACTAATTAATCTAAGCTACTAGTTGAAGAGTAATTACAAAAAGACAATCCTTTTAATAAACAACAAATTCCACCTTTGGTTGAATGCATGTACACACCTCTGGTCACAATAGGTAAACCTCATGTCCATGCTGTGCTGGCTGGTGAAGGTGTATCTGCTGAGCAGGGTGTGTGAGAGAGGCAGAGGCCGACAGGTCAGGAGCAGACAGGAAACTGCAGACGGGTCCACGCACACCTTTGCTCGGCCTTGACAGTGCAGAACCTGAACTCACAGAGTTGGAAATGGGAGGTGTGATAAAAATGATGATGTAGACCAGGGGGCCATTTTTTAAAAAAGATACTTTTAAGCGATACTGTTTCTCACGAACCTTCCAAGTAGCCGACTTGAGGTTGGCGGTTCTTCCTCTGTGAGTCAGAGCACTTTTTATCCTCATGACAAAGTCCCTCTTCTCACCGTACCAAACCTCCTCTAAAAATAAGTAATTAATTTAGCCACATGGACAAAGCTGTATGATTATATACTCACTGGACACTTTGTTAGGTACAACATGCTAAACCACCTTTATGGCTTCAGAACTTCTTTAGTTGCAGGTTTATCAGCTACGCATCGATGATGGGAATCTCCCATTCCGTTGAAGAGTTGCGGTGACTGTCGAGACTATTTGAGTACAGTGAACTCATTTTCATGTTCAGGAAACCAGCTTGAGATGATTTGAGCTTTGAGACAAGGCGTCCTGGAACCTGTCATCAGTACATGCTCAATGGAAACAGTCAGATAGGCTCTGGTGTTTAAAGTGCGTCATTCGGTTCAGTGGGTCATAAAGGGTCAAAAGTGTGACAAGAAAAGATCCCCCGCACTATTATATGTCCACCACCAGCCTGAAATGTTGATTCAAGGCAGGATAGATCCATCCTTTAATGTTGTTTACACAAAATCGTGACCATACCATCTGAATGTTGCAGCAGAAACTGACACTCATCAGAGCAGGTGATGTTTTATAATCTTCCTTTTTCCTTTTCTCCACATTTTGGTGAGTCCGTGTGAACCTTTAGCCTCAGTTTCTTGTTCTTAGCTGGCAGAAGTGGCACCCAGTGTGGTCTTCTGCTGTAAACCAGTTGCTTCAAATTAACATGTTGTGGATTTAGAGATGCTCTTCTGCGTATCTTGGATGCTACGAGTGGTTATTTGAGTTGCTGTTTTAACGCTCAGTTTGAATTTCCGTGGGTCGCATTGACAACATCTACATGCCTAAATGCACAGAGTTCCTGCCGTGTGATTGGCTGATTAGAAATTTGCTTTGAAATGGTGTCCAACATATATGAAAAACGTATATCCTTGATGTTCAAATACCTACCTGCTGTTAGACGCAGATTACTTCTGATTTCTTCATGGTCACAGGGATGAGTATATTCAAAAATGTTGTGTCCCATCAACTCAGTCTTTGAGAAAACATAGATGAGTATTTCAGTCATGAATCCTTCTGGTTATTTAAAAGAATAGTAAGAATATATGTGGGTTTATTTACCTGAGTCAGGCCCATGTACTTGCTGACATTGTCAGACAGAAAGATCATGTCTCCCTCAGTGGACAAGACCATGACAAATCCCTCCAAGATCCCCAGGTACATGTTTGTCTCCTGCGAGGCTTCGAATTCCTCTGTGTCTTTCTCCTCTTCGTCCCGTGCTCCGTCACAGCCGCTCTGTTCATCTCCACCTTCCACCGCTTGCTGATATGTTATCATGTGCCTACTCCCGCCATTTATCCCATCATTTTCTAAGACAAGCAGAGTGGTTTTTATATGACAAAGCTTTCTAGTCTACATTTTCAGTGGATAACAAAAGATGCGTTTCCTTTTTCATTTTGTGTGTTTGCTTCAGCTGTTAGTACTTGTGTGTTATCTTAGACTTCCTCTTTCGAAAACCAATCTGAATCTAAAACCCACAAGCCCGTTGAATTTTTTTCTTCACTTTTTTTTTCTGCATCTCCACATTTTAACAATGTATTAATCTGAAAACCTTTTAAGTAAGCAGAAAAGTCTACATCAGCCTGCGAAACTAATTTGTATTTATTAGTCCAGTTCCTTTTTATGAATAGTGTAACCCTTCTTAATTTTTTGTATATACAATTGACAGATGTTTTCTAAATGCAGCACGTGCGGCAAAGCATCAGTTTTTATAGGTGTCTAATTTTAAAGAGATGGCCAAGGTGTCTGCTCACAACACGGCTGTGCAGAACTGACAGATTGTGGTTTTCAGCTTTCTTGAGAACTTATGATCTAAACGGCACGACTGAGTGAAATTAACTCACACAGGAAACAAAAGAAAAAAGAATTTGACAAAAACAAAAGCAAAAACAAAAAAAGGGTTTGTTTCTCTGCTCTGTGAGAACCAGCTTGAGTTTTAGATTTTCAGAGTGACTAAATCATTTTGGTTTTTCACACATATTTAAATATCTGGCGTGCTAAGACTTGGTGTCGGGGTTAAGTTATGGTAGTGGTTTGTGGACACTGAGCCACTGGAAGTGGGGCACTGAAAACCACATAATAATAATAATATTAAAATATTAAATCAAGTTGAATTAACCCAATATTCTGGAATGAAAGGATGAAAACATGAATTTGCACATGGCCTTACATAACCCTTTCATACTGCTCATATTTCATGTCCAAGTGTGGAGCCAAGATTTTACTCAGAACTACAACTCTGTACAAATAGTCTCTGTGATGGTAATAAATAGATGATTAATCTATTTATTAGATGTAAGAGAAAAAGAGAAAAAACACTGTGATTACCAAACCTCATGTCCTAAGACAGCCATAATTATTTAAATGTATTTTACTGAACGTGAACTGTTGTGGTTTATTATATAACCATTACAGTTGTTAACCATTTCCTCACTCTTATATCATTAAAACTGCCATTTATAATTATCAGTGTTGATTAGAGATTAATTGTCAGTTGAAACACACAAAATGCTTAAAAAATACGATTAGTCTGCACATTAAAAGCATCAGTAGGAAATCTTGCATGTGTGTTTTCCACACTAGCTTCATAATCTCAGTTAGTTTTATCTCGAATCAGACTGAGTTCAGACTTTAATTCTAACTTGTTTATTTTTAGATTATTTTGCTCCGTTTGTGGGTGCTCACGTGATGTCCTTGCATTTGTGTTGTGCTTTTTTAGTTCTTCTGACCGCACAAAGAACTTTTAGCTACAACTCACACTTTAACCACACATTAATACACCGCTTTATTCCATCTACTTCAAGCACTTTATTCTGCCTCACATCCACAACCAGTTTCGAATCACCAGTTAACCTAACATGGATGTCTTTGAACCGTGGGAGGAGACAAGGAGACGGGCCAAAAGGAAACTGAAGGAAACCCCTGAAGGCCCAGAGAGAACACGCACACTCCACACAGAAAATTTAAACCAGGAACTGTGAGACAACTAAACTAACCACTCCACCGCCATGCCGAAAAATTTCAGATCTTGTGTTTGTGTCAATAGATCCTGTGACCCCTGTACGACCGCTCTTCCTTATGTGCTCCATATATGATCACTCTTATGCTGTTTTACTCTTACTCTGTTAGCAGATTTCTTTGGGCCAGGAGGTAGAGCTATGAGCTCCCCCCAATACTTCCATCAGAGTATGAATATGAGTGTGTGAATGTGTCGTTAACGGCAACTGGGTTTCAATAAAAGGCTTGTGTATGAATGTGTAAATGAGGCTTGGAGGAAGAAAACACTTTAAATGCTAAAACTGAGTAGAGAAACACCATATAACAATTGTGTTGAGGTCCACCTGGAACTGTCACTACTGTCCCATATAAAATATACATAGACACAGCATGCACAGTTGCAGGATTCCCTAAAATTGATGTAAAATTCATTTGTAAAATATTTTTAGCACCTGTTAGTCATGTTAGTCATTTTCATTTTCTGTGTGTTTTAGGTCACTTTAGAAACATTTAAAGCATTTCTGCTGCTATCAAATGTCAAAACAGGTCAAATCTAACCCAAACATTGCATAAGGATTAAGTCAAATCTTGAATCCTTTGATTGATTAAAATCAATAGCCTTACTGGCGATTTGGCAGTGAGATGTGATGGTTAAAGTTAGAGTTAAAAGACTTCAGAATGGATTAATGGTAACATAAGAGGCCAAAATATAAAATATAAATAAAATATAAGAGGCCAAACAAATGTGTATGTGTGCCCCTCCCTCCACACACAGAGAAGCAAGCAGCTGTCACAGTTTAATTTGTTTCCCGTCTGCAGAGGCAACAGGAACATAACGCACAGCAAAGGGTCTTGGATCAGAATCCACCCCAGGTCGTTACAGTTGGCCTTGTGGCCTGCTCAACCATTGTCAAAGTAGTTAAAATATAAAAAAAACAAAACAAAAAAAACCCTCAAAAGCTCAACCAAAGAGCCTCAAACTTATCTGCAATGTATTCAGGTCCTCAGTAGTACACAAGCTGAATTTAAAGCGGATGGATTGACTGTTGTGAGACAGGCGCAGAGCAAACACAAAGACTCCAGGAATTCAGGAATAATGGCAGGATAATGGATTGATAAATAAATAGGCCAGACACACCTCAGCAAGAATTAAATAGTTTAAACAGCCCAATTGCATGTATTTATTTATGGATATCACCTTATTGGACATCTGTTTGTATTATGAAACACATTATTTTTGAACAGCACTGTTAACACTTAAATTTTAGCTATTTTTGTGCTTGTTCTCTACACTTTGTGAGCTATTTTGGGGGTTTTCTGTATGAATTTCCCAGATTTCAGGAGAAATAAAGGAAATCTCATCAAAGAAACAAAGCATTTACCACCTTTGAAGGTTTTCTCTATATTTCACTATATTTTCTCTAAAACCTGCAAACTAATATCAGTGCCCAGAACATAAATGGTGCCATAAATATGTAAATGCGTATATTTACTGACTTCAAGTGGTGTTTTTCTCCTTGTGATTCAGTTTACTCTGAGTGTATCTCACACACAGAGGCCAGAGACGGTGTTAAATGTCTTCACATGTGCGCTGTTACCTTTGAGCAGTGTGTGCATGCGTATGTAGCTGAGGGTCAGGCGAATGATGGAGGGCTTGTCCAGGTGAGCTCTGACGGAGGGCTGCAGCGGCAGGAGGCGAGACAAATCCCCAAACACGTCAGACTCCACTCGCCGTCTCCTTCGAGCAGCCTCACGGCTGATCGCTCTTCAGAAAGCAGAAGTCAGGAAATGCAAAGAAGGCTGAACTAAATTTCCCTCAATCAAACTTACATTAGATTTTACTACCTAAAATTAAGTTAGATAAGTTTATAAACACCATTTTACTGCAAGTATGCTCTATGCTGCACACAACATAGATACATATGAACTAGAGAAAACTCACTCATTTAGTCACTAAAGTAAAAGTGAGATGATACTGGATGAAGTGCATTTTCTCAAAGACTATTTAAAATGTACTCTCTTTGATATCGGAAGATAATATTGTTCATTTTCCGCATTTTGCGTGCTAATGCTGTGACTCTGCAGACTTGGATTCTGTGTTCAACAGAACCTAAAACTGATGTAAGGAAAAATAAACAAAGAAATAAAGTGACATTGTTCCTCAGCTTTACAGGAACTGTAAAAACAGTCATGTTTCAGCTTCATCACACTGTGAACTTTTGACATAATCTGTGTGAGTTTAGAGAATTTCTCAATATGTGACACTTCTTCAATCTCCATGCTTATTCCTACTTCACCTTCAGAGTGTTTTTACTGCTAATATTGCCTCATTTCTACTGAAAGACTTGATTCCAGAGCTTTACCTTGAAGTATTTGAATTCTATCTTTTGCAGTTTTTAGTGTCTTTGTTTTTTAATAGTTCCCCCACCACTGATGAAGAGATGTGAAAGGTCAACAGTGCACAGTGGTTAAGATCTGAGGCATCCAGAGTGGCCACAGCACTGTCTTTGACCTCACTTCTTTACCTCAGTTAGCTGCCAACTCACTTAAACTTGATCTATTAAGATTTATTGCTGCCAAATGAATGCCTCTATGAACAAAGCAACACGCTGCTTTACCTTCTCTTCTCCTTGTCAGCTGTCATCGCGCCTCGCAGATGTCTCGCATGGTGAATGACGGCTCAGGAAAGCAGGCGCGATGGCAGCAGGAGTTCACGGCACAACAGCGAATCTCTGCACTGCAATTTGCACCATCACAGGTAGACTAGTTCATCAGACCGGCAATTAGACCCACGGTGCTGCACAGATGACTTGAATGGATTCCAAACAGTCTCATCTCCCCTTGGCATGCAAATTACCTAGAGGGCTCCAAAAGTGATGATAGGTCAGCCTTGACGAGAAGCATCTCCCTCCCCTCTTCTTTCCTCCTCCCTCCACTCCACCCTCCCTCCCCTTCTTCTTCTTCTCTTACATAAACTTTTGAGCATCCCACAGATTTGCCTCTGAACAGCAGCAGGTTAGAATCGATTAAAGCAAAGAAGGGGAAAAGAGCAATAAGAAAAAGACACAATGTAGTCTGGGATTGATGTAGACAGCTCAGTGTTTTATTGGAATCAGACCAGACAGGACTAGCCCGGCTGTTGCACTACATTTTGGCACAGAGTAAGATAGTGTGACCAGGAACAGCCCTACCCCTGGGTGCACAAAGCTTCACTACACATCAACTCTACTGCACAGAGAGCAACCAGCTCATCTTCAGATCACTGTACAGTACGCAACAGTCCTTCTGTGTTTAGTGTGTGTGTGTGTTTGCACAATAGAAAGTGAGAAGAAGGGGGAGGTGGAAAAGGAGCTAGTCTGTATTGGTGCTTATTGTGTATGTGTATGTGTGTGTGTTTGTGTTTGTGTGTGTGAAGTGAGAGGTAATTCAGCTGCTGGCTCTCAACACGTCTTATCAACCCGGCTGTAACAGACCTATAATAGTATAGTTATAGTATTATGCACAAAGGATTTCTCCAGATACACTTTACAATAATAATAATAATAATTAGATTTAGAATAAAAAAGAGAGAAAGAGCGAGAGAGAGAGAGAGAGCAATAAGAAAGAAAAAGCCATTCTTGAAAACATAAAGAGCAAAAGTCAGAAAAAATAAAGCGTGTGGTTTTGGCTGAAAGAGCTGCTGGATGTGGAAAAGGGGAATTGGTGCTTTGAAATAGAGTGCAAGGAAAGGGAAAACACTGACGGTTGCTATGGAAATGCTAAAAAACAAAAAAAGTCGCACGTGACAGAAAAGGGGAAAAAAGAAATTCACACATTCGCACGCATGAAAATATACATTCACAATAATAATAATAACAATAACAATAATATTAATAAAAAGGCCCACATTCACACAAAAAGGGCAGACCAAATCTCCGAACCTAACAGACGGATGAAACAGCTGGAAATGGGGCTTTTCACTGCTACACAGGCCGCCTCTAACACTCTGCTCGACATAATTAGTTCGATAGCCTGTAACTCGTAAGCTCGACATTCACTTTGTACACAAAGGACAGAGAATGAGTGAATACTTCAGTCATACCATAATCCAACAAAAACAATTTAAAAAACACATTTTGAGGAAGAAAAAAAAAACCACATACACACACACACACGCGCGCACATGAACAAACAAACCATAAAATATATAGATAGTCAGGGTATTGCACAAAAGGGGATTTGGCCCTAACTGGTCCACAATAAGGACAGTAATAACACAGGTAGGGTGCTTGTCCATGCGCCACGACGCTCCTTTAATAGCAGACAACACCAGCACGATACAGCCACTCAACACAGGCTATATACAAGCCTCTGCGCCCAGCACCCACAGTCCACATGTGTACAGGTGCCGGGGAGAGAAGCAGTGTAGGTGTGTGTGTGTATGTGTGTTTGGTTTTGTCTGAGCGTGTGCAGTGACCTTGTACTGTAGAAGTGCGCGAGGGCACGTAAAACTTGGGATTGTAGTGTTTGTACGCACGTGAGCGCGTCGATGTGTGCGTGCGTTTGTTTGTGAGAGCGTGTGCATATTCATATTTAAATTCATATTCATATTCATAATGAACCCAGGCAACAACAACAACACAATGCAAGTAAATTATATCTCAAAAGTAACAACAGCCAATAGCTTCAAAGTAAAGGACTGACCGTGTGTGTGTGTGTGTGTTTGTGTGCGTGTGTGATTTGTAAAGGGATTTTATGGATCTATGGAGTGTCAGCATGTGTGAGTGCGTGCATACCGAGTTAAGTGCGGCTGGATCTGTGTGTATTTGTGTATGTGTTAGGTATGCGTCTCCTCGGGGGCGCAGTAGGAGAAGTCCTTGAACTCCTCCTGGTTGATCTGTCGGATAATGGCCTCGTCCGTGGGCGTCAACACAGGGTCCTCCTTGGTGAAATCCTGGTCGAAGTTATTCACATCTCGTTTGGTCTTCTGCAGACGCATGCACACGAAAACACACACACAAAGGCACAGACGGAGGGAAGGATGTCAGAGAACGTTCAAAATTACATGACAGCGACACCTTCTGACCACTGTGGCTTACTGTTCCTTTAAAGGTGCTCTCTTAGGGGGTCTTTAATTAACACGCCACAAACCTTTTAAATCTAGCATTAGCAAAATTGGGATTTCAAGCCTTTTAAGCTACTTTTAGAGACTAAATGGCACAGTCTTTCTTTCACAAACAAAATAAATAAACAAATATTAAAATTAAAGTAATTCAGTACACTGAAAGACTTTTTTTAAACACATATTTACTTGTTTTTGAATGATTGACAGAGACAGAGTGTGCTTAAAGCCTGCCCATTCTGGAGGGGGAAGCAGGTCATGACTCTCAGTTGACCTCGTAGTATGTGAACTTCCCTTTTTCGATTCTACCAGCAAACTGAATGGGTGACTGTGTGCAAACCTTTGATTGGTACTGTAAGAATTACTCAACAAAACGAATTGAGATACTTTTTCAATCTCCGTGCTTATGCCTACTTTAACTTCAGGCTTTCTAGGCTTTAAAAATCCTGAAAGCTAACCTGAAGACTTTTGACAGCATAGTAATAAAGGTGTTGATGTTGAATTTTATATTTGAGACAAAAAGAGACGTACAGTGTTAAAAAAAACAATCCCAGATGAAAGTCTACGACGCAACTTGACACCAGCAGAGATGGTGGTAAAAATATAACAGCCACCGCAGGGCTTTAAAACCTTATTTGACTGGTCCCACTTACCCTAATGTTTCAAATACTTTGCTAACATTAGCTTTTTAACAACTAACTGTAAATGGGGTGATAAAATAAACCTCAAAGTTAATCAAGAACAGATCCCCCAACTAGGCAGTAGAGGCAGGAATTACCAGAGAGGATGGCAGTGCATGAAATATGCCCTCATGTTTACAGTATTCATAGAATATTTGACTTTCACATAACACTCCTTACAAATCCATCTCCTTTGTCCCCTTCTTGTTAAAAAAAAAAAAAGGCAACATCTCTGATTTAAACACATACAGCACTTCTCTCAGGCCTCCATCTTTGTTTTACCAACTTCCAAATGAAGCCCAAAACTCAACAGCACCACCTGGTGGACTAAGAAAAAGAAGCATTTTTTT